CCAATGCACTTATGCATTATAACATATATCGATATATTTACAGAAACAATAATAGCGTCTTCTTAGACTATAACTTAGTGTAAAATGTGGTTTTTGTTCGCAGTCTCCGAGCGGCACGAGTACAAGGTCCGGCGGAGGCGCGTCACCGCCCGCCTCCACCTCGCTCACCGCCATCGAACACAACTTGTCCCTCGCATTCTCCGCATCCGGATCATTCGTCGCTAGCTCCTTACGTGAGTTTTACTTGTACGCTGTATATTATCTATTTCAATTAGATGTACAAAATGTGATTTTAAAATATTTGATGTTCCAGCTACAGGTAATGAGAGCTCGGAACCTGGACCCACCACGTCCGCATCGACGTATCCTCACACTTCACCTACAGTACATAGGTAATTATATAAAACATTTTCTATCCCTAAGTATAATTAATACATTTATTACCAAGTCTCTTTCTACAGTTAATTGATTAGTTCATGTTTCATTAAGTTTAAGTAATTTAATTTAATTGTATTAAAAGTAGTGTACGACAATGCAGGTCTGGCAGTCCGCTGCAGTTGGCAGAAATGTTGAGGCGGAAACGCGCAGTGCGGCGGTCTGGCGGAGCGCCGGCGCGCGGGCCGCGGCGTCGCGAGGACCTCACCCCGCCGCACCAGCCGCCCGCCGCGCCCGCAGCGCCCGCCGCCCCGGCGCCGCCGCACGCGCACGCGCACGCGCATCAACCGCAACAGGCGCATGGTCAGTATCCCCAAAAGTTATTTGAATTTTATTGCACCTAGAAAATTACACTAAAGTTGTGATTTACAGTTTTCTGTTACTCACTGTCACAGAAAAGATGAAAAATCTACACAATTTCGATGATAAGCTGAGAACTTTTAATTGACATATATCTAAAGGGTAAAAAATATTGTTCGATCTATTTAATAATGATACATGTTTAATGTTGATTTAATTGATTTAGCTGTGTCGGTGATACCGTCAGCGTCGCGTTCTACGTCGCGCGTGGGCGGGGCGTCGCGCACCTCGTCGTTCCTGTCCTCGCTGAACCCCTCGCGCTGGGGCCGCACGCCGCACGCGCACCGCGACACCGCCCTGCTCGCCTCCCCGCACGCCTCCACTAATCTCACTGTACAAAACAAGTAAGACAAACTACATCACATATTTCAATCTAGAAATACCCATCGGCTGCGACGCTAAGGTATCAATTTTTAAAGCGTCCACTTCGCCAAATACCCCACTTTGATTATTATTTTATTTGCATTCCTATTCTAAAAGTAACATTTATCGGCTAGACTTGGTTTAAATGGAGTATTTAAATATATTTGTTTGTCTGTTTAGAGAGAAGGTGCGCGAATGGATAGTATGGAAAGCGGGTCGGCTGCAGCGCGAGTGGGGCGCGCTGGGCGGCGGCGCGGGCGCGCTGGAGCAGCTGGCCGCGCTGGCGGGCGCGCTGCCCCACGCGCACCAGCGCCGCGCCGCGCTGCATCAGCTGCGCGACACGTTACTACACCACGACGTCTCGCCCTTCGAGGTTCCTATACATCACTTATATAAAAAAACTTTTTCATTCATTCGCTGTAAAAAATCGCAAATGACACTGTTTTTCACGACAAAGTAATTAATATTCTTCAGACTACCTGTACTACGCCACGAAAGATAGCGCAAATGATTAAGGGCCTATCCCAACACTGGCTGATAGAGGTTCAGATAGCTTCAAAATGACGTCACTGACACATAAGGGAACAAAATATATTATTTTTGTTCCCTTATGTGTCAGTGACGTCATTTTGAAGCCTTTATTTCCTTCACATATTTAACACGTTCGATTATTATTAGAAAATTTACGATTTGGTGGTATGATCCCTTAATGTAATGTATGTGCAGGTGAATCATTCTGGAGTGCTGGGCGCGCTGCTGCAGTACCTGACGGGCAGCGCGGGCGAAGGCGAGGAGGCGACGGAGGGCGGGGAGCGCGACGCGGAGGGCGAGGCGCGCGACGCCGCGCAGGAGATAGCAGACTGCGAGGAACGCCTCAGGCTGTTCTTGCATGTCTTCGCAGGCATGCCGCTCGTGCCAGAGTAAGTTACATTATACACAAATAGTACAACAACGAGTTATTTCAATAGCTCGTTAGGTTACTTATAATATTTTTATGATAAAATAATTCATGCTAAGGTAAAGATTGTATGTAAGATAATAAGTATCAAGATGCGAATGGTGACGTTGCAGCGACCGCGATTGGATGGAACAAGTGTCGGAAGTGGGCGTGGCGAGTGCAGTGGGCGGGGCCGGAGGCGGGGCGGGCGCGCTGGCGGCGCTGGTGGGCAAGGTGAACGCTTGCGTGTCGCACCTCGAACAGTTCCCCGTGCGCGTGCACGACCTGCCCGCGCGCCCCGCCACCTCCGCCCTACGCTTCTTCAACACTCATCAGCTCATGGTAAGAACATACACAACTACATTATTTACATCACTTTTAAATGTTTGTTTCGAGATTTTTCTTATATCATCGTAATCATGTGTATTGTTGCAGTGTGATCTCAAACGTCATCCAAATTGCACCAACCTGAAACAATGGAAGGGCGGTGTTGTACGGATAGACCCGTTAGCTTTAGTACAAGCCATTGAACGGTGAGTGGGGTCTCCTACATTTATAACTATTTCAAATCCCTCTACAGAAACTACATACTACAGACAAATACAATCGACGAAAACTATTTTCTAATTATTTTGAGGAAACGCAATATAAAATTTTCACGTATATTTAATTTTATGCTATGTAAATTAACTTGGATTACCCAAAAAGCATAGTATAGCACATATAAAGTAGAGTATAAAGTGAGAAATGTGTGTCAGGTACCTGGCGCAGCGCGGGTACGCGAGCGCGCGCGCACGCGACGGCTCCGCGGCGGCTGCGCACTCGGACGACGAGCCCGCCTCGGACGACGACGTCGAGGACTCGCTCGGAACGCCGCCGCATCCCCACACCACTGAGTAAGACACTTACATTTAAACAATCATTACATCTTACAATTATGCATTATAAATGTACTACTAATATGTTTTACCTGCAGTTCTGATCACAAACTGGAATTCCTAATCGGCGACACGGTGCTGCCGTACAACATGACGGTGTACCAGGCCGTGCGACAGTTTGGCGATCACACGGACGCAGACACCGACACTGAAACGCCTATTGGTACGTACTTCTTACACTACTTAGATACATATATACATAGTTTAGATTCATTAAACACTCTTTTGAAATGGATGCATTTCGTACAGCAAACGCTGGCATCTGGGTGCAAACGCACACGATATACTACCGCGCGGTGGAGGCGGGCGAGGCGCCGCGCGCTGACGCCGCCGCATCGCGCAAAGGCAAGGGACACACCACAAAGATTTCATCGCGACGCAAGCCCGACCTGCTCTGGAACGGTAATATTCATATTACCTTTGTAACAAAAAGATTACTCCACAGAGAAACGAATGTATTATAATAATGTTTGTATGATTACCAGAGGGCGTAGTGCCGGCGCGTGAGTCGCCCCTGTTCGTGATCCTGCGGTCGCCGCTGGTGAGCAGCGGCGAGGTGAAGGACGCGTCGCTGCCGGCGCTGGGGCTGCTGCGCGCGCTGCACGCCCTCGCGCGCCACTGGCACACGCTGTACCGCGCCGCCTGCCTGCCAGACCACCGGCCGCTCGTGCCCAACTCCGACTTCATCAATCCCAAGGTTTGTTATGATACACATCTTCTCTACACGAGTTAATCGTAAATTATTTTTAAATGATTTTTTTTACGTGGTACCTTTTATAATGGTGTTTAAATTCAACTAACTTTAACAATCTAAATAAATGCTTCGCGGTCTAAAGTTTTAAAGTTGTATAATTTTACACCTGCAGATTTCTGTACTCCAACTTTTTACTTTCAGCTTGCTGCAAAAGCAAATCGACAACTTCAAGATCCATTAGTTATCATGACTGGAAATTTGCCACCTTGGTTAAAGAAAATTGCTTATGCTTGGTAAGTCTCGATTTGCTATTTAATAAAATGATATAATGTTGGTATTGGTATTGGTTTTTGTTTATTGTATCTTTGGCATAATAACAATATAATAATAATAAGCCTTTATTCAGATAATTAAATTACTGTCACATTACATAAATTGAGTTGAATATTGATACATTATATTTATATTAATTTTATTATCCTTTTTTTTCTTGTTTTGTTTTATTTCATTTGTTATTTATTATCTGTGTCCAAGTTGGACATAGGCCTCTTCCAAATTCTTCCATTCTCCCCCTCTTTTTGGCTTTCTTGACCAGGTCTCTCCTGCAGCCTTTTTTATGTCATCTTCCCATCGTTTGTGTTGTCTTCTGCGGTTCCTCTTACCTTTTTTTTGAATACCAGTAGTTTATGAGTTTACTCCATTTATCTTTGGCATAGTTAAAAAGAAAGTTGTGAACGTGTTCCAGTCCATTCGTGTTGCCGTTCGAGTGCCGACACCTGCTGTTCTACGTGGTGTCGTTCGACCGCGACCGCGCGCTGCAGCGGCTGCTGGAGGCGGGCGGCGAGCGCGGCGCGGCGGCGGCCGACGAGCGCGTGGCGCCGCGCCTCGACCGCCGCAAGCGCACCGTGCAGCGCCACAGCGTGCTGCGCCAGGCGGAGCACGTCATGCACGAGTTCGCCCACACCAAGGCACTGCTCGAGATACAGTACGAGAACGAGGTCGGCACCGGACTCGGACCCACGCTAGAGTTCTACGCACTAGTCTCACAGGTTATATAACGTTTCAATTCATATAACATTTTAAGCATAACCTATACTAATGATGTTAAATATTGTAGGAATTGCAACGCGCCGATCTCGACTTATGGCACGGAAGTGAGAACTTCAAACAGAAGCCGACGTCGTTCGGTGGTGAAATAGTGAAGAGCCAGCCGCCCGTGGTGACGGACCGGTCGGCGGACGCGGCGACGCGGCTCGCCTCCTCGGTGCGCGACGCGCTCAGCCTCGACGAGGAGCGCTCGCCGCAGCCCTCCGACCTCGAGAAGGAGACTTCCATCCCCTCGCCCGCGCCCGACGCCACCTACGTCACCTGGCCCTGCGGCCTCTTCCCGCAGGCCGTCGGCCGCAACGCCAGGGCCTCTCATCTCTCTCGGGTCAAGGCCAAATTCCGCTTCCTGGGGAAATTCATGGCCAAAGCCGTTATGGATTCTAGAATGGTGAGTTCGGAATACTTGTTTAGAAATGACTAAAAATTATCACAACATTGAAGCAATAATATGCTAACTTGTTAAACGTGAACCATCACTTATAACACTAAAGTTAATATTAACAATGATGTCGTAGGTGGACATCCCGCTATCAGTGTCGATGTACCGGTGGCTGGTGAGCGAGCAGCGGTGGCTGGGGCTGAGTGACGTACGGCACGTGGCGCCCGAGCTGTGGCGCTCGCTGTGCCGGCTGCGGCGCGTCGCCGAGCGCGCACAGACCCTCGCCGGCGACCCCCGGCACACGCCAGACCAGCGCGCGCATCTCGTAAGACCCACAAACACTATCATACAAACAAACGGTACTTCTCATACCTAGTTACTACCACGACGAGAGAAAACCGTGTCAAATAACAAACAAGTTGCATCCGGTATTTTATAGTTTGGCAACGGTGTGGTTAACATTGTTTAATACTTGTCAGATCAATGGACTAGAGTTGGACGGTTGTCCGATCGAGGAGCTGGGACTGGACTTCATCCTGCCGGGCGACGGGTGCACGGAGCTGCGGCGCGGCGGGCGCGACCTGCCCGTCACCGCCCACAACCTGCACAACTACATCGCCCTCGTCACTCACTGGCTGCTCTATGAAGGTCCGCATTAATAACCACTTTCTCTTCCATACCAACAGACTCGCAGCCCATGCTAACAATAATATTATGATATAAAAATACCGTACTAGATAATTAGTAATAAAAAATGTTTGATTATAGGAGTGGCGAAACAGATGGAAGCATTTAAAGAAGGCTTTGAATCAGTATTTCCATTGGCAAATCTCAAGATATTCTACCCTGAAGAGTTGGAACAAGTATTTTGTGGAAGTCCCTCAGGTATGTAACTTGTGTTGCCCAATGAAGCTTTCACAATCAGTTTATTTAGAATGGAAATGCTGGAGTATGCTAAAGTATTGTGAGAGATGTGAATGTATATGTTGTGATTGGTTTGTTATAAAGGGGAATGTAATGTGTATGTGCAGGGGGTCGCGAGCAGCGGTGGGAGGCGCGCATGCTGGCGGAGTGCATCCGGCCCGACCACGGCTACACGGCGGAGTCGCGCGCCATCCGCATGCTGGTCGACATCCTCGCCTCGTACTCGCGCGACGAGCAGCGCCTCTTCCTGCAGTTCGTCACCGGCAGCCCGCGCCTGCCCACTGGAGGTGACATGCGCTCACCACTCCTTACAATACAACTCTACCCCATTATTTCGTTTACTATTTTATCTACAGTCATGGGCATTGCCAGCACCACATCCTGCCAAGAAAATCAAAATTTGTCAAATAGAAATATATAATGATATTTGCATCAATCATCTCTAGAGAGTATATAGATAGCTTAAAAGGACTTTTTATTTAAAGAATTGGATGTCATATTCGTAGCATTCTCTTTGAAATCAAAAAGTTTTTATTACTAGCGTTCTTGACATTCAGCCTGAATCCATAGACGCTGCTTGCTTCTGCTGTAATTATTATACAACAATATAATAATTAATTGTTTTATGATAATGAATGTTGTTGGCAGGATTCAAGGCGCTGAACCCGCCGCTGACGGTGGTGCGCAAGTCGCTGGAGTCGTCGCTGGACCCGGACGAGTACTTGCCGTCGGTGATGACGTGCGTCAACTACCTCAAGCTGCCGGACTACAGTAGCGCGGAGGTGATGCGCGCCAAGCTGCGGCTCGCGGCCTCCGAGGGCCAGCACTCCTTCCACCTCTCGTGAACTGTGCGTACGATACTCGTGTGTGTGAATGTGGTTAGTGATATTGATAGTTGTAATGCTGCGGCCACAACCCTCTTATGTGCAATCAGAGTGATTTATTTCCCCGCTGTGTGACAGACACCTTAAAGTGCTGTGTATTTACGTTTTGTTCTCTTTTCGTTATACTTTTAGATTACATAAATATGTTTATAACTATATTTTGTGTTAATTTAATGTGATAGTTTTGTATATTTCTTTATGGATATGTTAGAGATTGGTTCTGAATATGTAAGAGTAGGGTGTGCGGTGCGCGGCGCGGCGCGGCGCGGTGCCTGCGCGTGCGCATTGCTTGTAATCGTCACCATGTTATATAAAATATCTTACTACATAAGTCATGTTTGATGGACCATTAAAAATCTTCTTTGAGAGTCCCTTCGAGTTACGATATAGCATTTAATGTCAAACGGTATATGTTTTGATTAAACTCTAAGAATGATAATTGTTTAAAGTTAAAGTGCAAAATTTAATATGTAACATTTCAATAAAACCTATAAACAATACTGATCAAACATGTGTTTTCTTCAACAACCTATATTCCCTTGTATTTGGATCAATGTTTTACTTCTATACATATAATAAATTTGGAGTGTCTGTTTAACATCAAAAGGAAAATTTTAGATTTCGGGAGATGATGAAAATCGCGTTTAAGAATTTATTGTCTGTCTGTCCGTAAGCTGTGTTTGTTCCGAGTAACCTCCAAAATGGCTTGGCCGATTTCTATAGGACTTTTACTGAAGGGTAGCTGACATAGACTGGCATATCACAGGCAACATTTTTATCTTAATATTGCGAAAACAAATCGTGGGCAACAGCTAGTAAATTAATAAAACAAATATTTAAAGGACCATTTAATATTTTGGTGCAAAATAAAATGATACATTTTTGATAACACTGTCTTAGATACTAATGTACTCAAATGATTACAATAACTGGAATAATCACTACTTACAATCTATAAACCGATCACCAATAATTCATAAGGGCTTTATATGACCATTGCCAACCAACCTAAGATAAGACAGGATCCACCGATAGGAGTGAGTTTTCGGAAGTTGGGGTTACCAGTGAAACAATGGTAGTAACATGTGCCACAAAACAATCCCATTCCCGCTATGAAAAATCCACCAGCCTGAAAATGTTTACAAACATTAAAAAGGGTAACTCACTGCTTCAGAGATCCTTTGTTATGTGCTTGGTACACAGACACTACATATCCCTTTAAAATTCCTTATAATGTGCATGGATACCTTACTACAAAATTCATATTTTACTGTTTTTATCAAATGGTAAGTCTTACTTAAATCATTGATAATATTATGAGTACTGCCATAATTTGGAGTAACATCTTTATTTGATAAACATGTATTTATATATTTTTAGTATTACTCACGATATATGGTCGTCTGCAAAGTGGCACAGTCATCAAAGCTAAGGTATGCAGAAAGTGGAATCTGTTAGCTGTTTCAAAGATCTTTCGTAAATCTTCTTTTCCTTCGGTTGCGGGAAATGTGCGATGTGCTCCCATAGCTCCGAGCACCACAGCCACGGCGCCGCTCAGTCCTGCGAGCCTGACAAACGGCCCTGCCGCTTGAGCTAACTCCCAAAGAGGCATTTTTATTATTATAGGTGCTGGTTGAAAGGTCTCGGTCTTCGATTTAAAAACACCCTGAAAATAAAATAGTAATAAAAAGCTGCAATAGTGTCTACTGAATAAAGATAAATCGTTTTTATCGCTATCTACGATGACCTAAGATATTTTTTTTGTTAATTCATGCTACATATTACATATTTAAATTTCTAACTTACGATTTGTCGTAACACATTCATAGCTCCTTCCGTCACCGTATTAATCATAAAAGCATCAGCTAAATTAACCATACCTTTCAGGATTTAGCTGCAATCACTTAGAAATAACAAAATAAGTCGTAGGAAAAGAAAGGTAATTTCTGTTTTCTTTATTATTGACAAATTGAAATTGATTTTATATTTTGACGTTTAGTAGTAGGGTTGTACTCTTGTGAGATAAGTTGTATTTCTAAACGTATTTCTATCTAGAATGTCTATTATAATGTGATTTAATCGCTTTTTGTTGTGTGAATAAATTAAATTCCATATCCATCTTTATTTCAGGTTCCATATTAAATTAAAAAATATATGAAAACAGCAAAAGAATTGATTCCACAATTACATTTTACTGTATAGCATAAGATGCGCCAGCGCAGTCAGTGAGTGTAAGTATATCATAGACTTTTTTATGAACAAAAAACCTAATGTCAATGTCAAATTAATTAACCTTCAAAGTTGTTTATTTCTAATTTTTCTTACGTATTTTGGTTTAGTTAATAAACTGGAGTTCTCTTGTAATTTTTTTAGTTAATAATGGATGATGAGTCTTCGCGTGATGTTATTTATGTTGAATCTCAAACTTATGCGGAATACCCTGGTATGTAAAACCTTATAAATATATAGAAATAATTTAGGCACAGCTAGATCACCGGAAATCATGGATAAGTAGCCATGCCGGTAATTTTTGTTTAACGACCGAATTCAATTATTCAAGTGTAAGTGATCTGAACCTTAGATGGTTCAGAAATGAATTACCCTTGTTTAAACTTTTGAAATGTGTCCCTTTTATTCATATGTATATGCTACAGATATTAATTATTAAAAAAAATTACAGATAGACCAATAGTAAAACTATTTGAAAGACTGATAGGCAATGATACAGAACAAAACACAATTTTGACAAAAACACAAATTATGAATATACTGCACAAGGAGTTTGATGTGGATGTTGAAAAAGTCAACTTATTAGAAGTAGATATTTCGATAAACATAATCATGACATATCTAAAAGATTGGCCAGAATGGGATAAATTTGAGAAGGAAATTATGAATTTGGAGTCTCAAAAGTATACTGAAGAAATAAAGAATATTATAGAAGTAAACTATTTAGCACTTAAAAAATATTTACAAAGTAAATTGGATATTGTAAAGTTATTATTGCCCATATATCTGAAAGAATTGCCACGAAAAGAGAAAATTGAACAAAATGTGGAAAACAAAAATTTGGATGATGAAAAAATTGTAATGGAAGTGTGCGCTACAAAAGCTCAACTAAATAATTTAATATTAAGACATCCTAAGTGCAATAATCATATTTTCAACTGGGAAGAGCCTAAAAATGAAAAATGTCTTATTCTGACAACAAGAGCAGCTTTACACTGGGGAGGCATTAATATAACTGCCAAGTTAGAATGGTCCTCATCAGAAATGTTAATATTTAAATATGAAAACCGTCATATATCAAAATTCACTCTTGTTAATAAAAAACTACCAGTCCAACCAAATAGGATTGAACATGCAACACAATTGCAAATGAAATGTAAAAATCAAAACAAAGTAAATATAACTAAAGAAAGTATGTTAAATAAAATTCTACAATATTCAAAAACTAAAAATTCATCATGGTGTAGTATATTTCAAATCTTATGTGATGATTTGAAAATGTTAACCACAGATATGCCTTCTAATATAGACTTGCCGGTTGAATTTAGAAAACATTTAAGTAAATATAGTTATGTCAGATATATGTATAAAGAGGTGACTGAATCAATAGCGGAGAATGGTGAAAATTACGATTTACAATTAGAAGAGATGGTAACACCAACCTGTTACTTGAATATAGACCTACATAAGACAAAAAACCAGAAGGAGTCTGTGAGATTTGAATGTGATCTTTGCAAAATGGAATTCAAAGGTGAAGAAATAAAAAACCTAATTGATCAACATTTTACTATGTACCATACTGTGGAGCCAGATTGGCAATGTGTTAATTGTAATACACAAATATCTGGAATAGAACTTGCACATATGAACTGGGACCACAAATGTCCATTAAACCACGAGAAAGTATTGCTAGCTCTATTGAAATAGATCTTTAAGGTGTAACAATACATGTACAGAATGACAAAATTATCTTGCTCTATAAGCAACCCTATTGTCAATTGTCATTAGTTTTGTTGACATTTACTTTGACATTAATGGCTCACTAGTGACCTGTCAATGTCAAAGTGTCACAAGATTGTCAATGTCATAGTTTTAGACCTGTAGCTTTCTAGTCATACTTTCTCTTTTGTTATTTGATATTTCTAAATCAATTATCGTACAGAACTAACAATTTTGTGCGCTCAAGTGCCGGTGCTCAGATATCCTTGCAAACAAGGTGTGTAGATGTAATGAGATTCAGTTTGTAATTTATGTCTTGTATGTCTCTTACTGTAAATGTGATTATACTATGTACAAAGTAGTATAATATGGTGACAGTTGTCTGTATGATATTGACAGCTGTCAGAACTGGACTACCTACTACATTTATTAATAACTAGCTGTTGCTCGCGTTTTTGCACGCGGGAATGTAAACTATAAAAAAAATATATAGTCGTTCTTCGCCTTTGTAATGTTGGTATTGATGGGAAAGATTAGAGAGATGGATGGATGTTTGTTGGTATTTGAAGCCTAATGTGCTAAACGGATTTAGATGAAATTCCGGATTGATGTAGCCGATAGTCTGGAAATAAACATAGGCTACCCACTTTTGATTTGTTTATAATTCCATGCGGACACAGTCGCGGGTAAAAGCCAGTTTTTAAAAATTGTCTACCGTTATAAATAATTACCAAAGAATAGTAAGGTACAAGTAAGAAATTAATGAATTTTATAGTATTTTAATGTCACCTTAGTACTGTTAAATATAAAAAAAAAACTGAAAATGTTAAGTTAAGAGCTTTTTATATAAAGTTTGGATATATTTTTATAAAAACAAAAACAAACTAATGTGCGAACATGTCTGATATTACTATATTATATTTTCTTAAATTATATTCTCTTACTGTATTATTTTAATTATTATAAAAAATGGTCAGTGTGACCAAACTCATTACTAAAGACTTATAAACACAATAAAGGTAGAGTAAGTGGATTTGCAGATTGATTAGTTGTAGTGTTACCATATATTTTTATAACTGATATAGGAAAATAAAGCATTTTTACAAACTTAAAAAATCGTATTTATTTATTGTCACAATCTATCTCCTTGATCAATTTAAAATTGGCTGCTCACTTTGTTGTTTCAAATATGATGTTTCAACTCTTTTTACCTTAATTTTAAAAACTTATGAATGTATATAAATTACAACTTGCAAAGTTGTTTTAAATTTAAGTGCTTGTCCAATATTTATGTTATGTTTACACAAATCACTATCATCAGTGGTCCACCACATCAAAACCATGGATCGACAAGGATAGTACGCTTAACATAATTGCAGCTCGCTTTACTGTGTCTTGTCCACTTCGCTCGTTGGACAACAAACACCAGCATACCTGCAAAATAAATATAATATGTAACAGTTATTTTTAAAGACAAACAAACTTAAGATAGATGCGTTGTCTACTTTGAATCGACGACAAAGGCGATGCACAGAAAGAGAAAATTCCCCATTCCTATAATTTCCTTAGAAGAGTGAGAAAGGAAAGTGGACTTAAATTAGGTATTCGACACATACTTATCAGATTGTACGGGGATTAGCCTACACTAGACGTCTTCTGTGCTGTGGTATTGCACCGGAGGAAAAGGTAAATTTATATTTAGTTGTTTTAAGGAGTCATCAAGTGGGTTCATTCAGCTTACCCGTCACCGACGACACAGTAGGTGTGTGCGTAGAGGGGCGGGGAGAGGGCGCGCGCCGCCGAGCACCGCGTCAGGTACACGCACCGGCCCGGGGACGCGTCCGTCGCGTGCGGGCACTCTGCATCACCCGATGCCGCTTTAGGTGCCTGACACAAATATCGACAATATTAACACAATATTCAATAAATCATAGTATTAAGACGATCTCTAAACATTTAAAATGTAGGTATAAAGAAATATAAGGATTTGTTTAACACTTGAAACGCTGATAAGGTTTGGCCATAGTTCAATCTTTCAAAACAGTCAGAAAATATTTATGAGTTTTAGTTACAATATCATATTAACAAAGTATTATTCACATTATCTTTTGTAAGTTTCAAGACGACTTGCGTTGTATTCGCATAAATAGTGATGGTATCTGTGCTGGTGTCCAGCAGCGGAGCGAGCCAGGCGTACTCCTCCAACTGATACGACTCCAACGGACTCGATGTCGTGGTAGATGGCGCTACGTCCGACGTCCTCATCGCGTCTACAACACATTAAAACCATTAAAACAATGTGAAAATACGAAATCGAGTATTAAATAAATATGCAATAAAATATCATTGGCGACAGCAATTTATCATTAAAATCTACAACTGGTACTAATTGTTGTTAAATGTAAATAATGACAAAGGAAACCGTTTAGAATAATCAACCATTAGATTCACTCATTAGTGAACTGGGAGTCATAGAACCATCTGCAAGAGAAATACAGTATTAATGAGCCTTACTCCACCGAAATCTTGGCGTAATCCTCTTGGTATAAATACCTGTGGATAGAAAAAATATATAATAAGAAATTAAATATAACGGAAATAGATTATTTACTTCGTGGATCAATGCAGTACTACGTTAAAAGTCTTTTAGCAGATTAGGGATGGAATTAATATTTATCTTACCCAAATTTCTGTGTTTCATAGGAGTAAAACCGCTGCGATCTGTAAACATATATTTTTTGTAAAAGGTCGTCGACAATAAATGGCTGAAACCAAAACAATGTGTCGTATGTAAAATGAGTAATTTAAAAAGCAAATAAACCGCAAAATCATTAAATACATTTTAAATGTGTAAGCAAAGCTATGAATGTTAAGTAATATCGGTCAATAACATATTACAGCTAATTAAAACTTACATAAAGACGGAGAAAAGGAAAAATCAGCTCTATTGGATACACCTGTAAACATTCCTAAAATTACATAATAATTATTAACATTTAATCAGCTCAAAAAAACAAATTCCTTTTTAAGGTTATGTTATGCCAAGTTTGTAAAAGGTAAGTAATGAATTATTTTCACATTAAATAATAATTAATTGCTTTTCTAAATTATTAACCATAGATAATCATGAAGATGAAAAGGATAATGACGCATGCGTGGGATGAGACCCCTCGCGTCCGACACCATTATTATATTATAATTGATATAACAATGATCGAATGACCTTGTTAAAATTATGAAGGCTATAACCCTTGGTGTGTAACTTAAAAACTTGCTATAATAGCCAATGGCAGAATTAAAATATAGTAAAAAAATAGTTTATGTAAACTTATAATAAAATCTGTACTACCCGTGGTTTGCTTCCTTTCAATGCCAGTAGCTTGTTTCCGTTTCCTGCAGTTCGTGCAATATTTTCACAAATGATAAACGTGCTGTCGCCAATGATATAATTTAATAAAAATATATAAGTTACATTAGATATATTAAGCAAGCTCACCGTAATCATCAATTAATAATTCAGTCTCTTCATAAGCATGCATGTCGAGCATCGGCGCGGCCATGCCACTCAGCGCGATCGGATATGCGCCTACAATTAAATTTGGTTGTAAATTTTTAAACATACTTAATAATTTGCTTTATTAATCTGCATACTTATTTTAGCATTTACGCCACGAAAGGAGGGGGAGTGGACAGTAGCACCCCCTGGAAATAACCACAATTTTTATTACTTTGATGTCGGTGTCAGTCAAGGTAGATTAGTCACTTAAACGTTAGGTACTATACTTTCAATTGTCAAATGTTATGGTAAAAATGTAGAAAGCCGTACGTAGAAATATCACTGCATACCTTGGCTGACACAGACATCAAAGTAATAATAATTGTACAATATAGACATAAGAGCTACAATAAGGGAGGTTTAAGTAACTGTTTAGTGTATTGTTTTTTTGAAAATATTTTGTTTGGAGGTCGATTTTGTTTTTTGTTAATGTTTAATGTAAGCTTACTTTATTAACAACCAATAATGAGAACGAATAAGCGAAATATAGATGCTCATTGTGGTACATCCACTTCCATGCGTCTCCCGCGATAAGCAAATTTGCATGTTTTGATCCCACCCAATGTAATGATTTACTCGGTCACAGGGAATTAGCACAATAAGCGGACCCACATTCAACATAACGAATTCAGAGATGTTGATGTTATTTGCCAGTTGTCAACAGTTTCAATACATTGGCGAAACAAAGTATTCGTAAGAATTTGGTATAACCCACAGCAACAATGTACGAGTATGATATTAAAACAAATTGTTTAACGTATAGAAAAGGTATTTGATATCAAAATCCAAAATATTTATCATTAATAATATCAAAAATAACTTTTAAAAGTATTAAAAAAACAAAATTAACATACTGTCAGCGTAACCTCCAGCCAGATTATAAGAGTTAGCTGAAAAGAAAAAAAACTATAAATTATTGCTTCAATGAAAGAAAGCAATACTCGATTGTGCCAGTCTTTATATTAGTAAGCCTTAGAGGGTAAGTCTCCCTCTCCCGTCCAACTTGGTGAAAACACTGACGTAAGGAACATTTTTCAGTCATATTACATACGTTTAACAGTCTTGTACGAGTAAAGTGACTTACCGAACATTGGTTGGTGCGCGGAGAAAGAAGGCGCGTTAGGAAGAACTGAATCGTAAGATAACGCTGTAAAATATAAAATGATATATTTAGTATCGATTGCCGTTTTCTCTGTCATATAATTTAATTTTATTATTATTATTTTCCAGTCGGTGGCTCAGTGATTTAAGCTCTTGACTTGTATCTACAGGTATTGGGTTCGAATCCCGCCATGTACCAATGTGAGTTTCGATTTTTCGAATTTTCATATGTACATAGTTTACCCGACGTTCTTACGGTGAAGGAAAACATCGTGATGCAACCTGTACAAATCGGCGAAGAAATTCAGAGATGTGTGTGAAGTCAACCAACCCGCAGTGGGCCAGCGTGGTTGACTATGGCCTAGTCACCTTTTACTTTAGGGTAGGCTCCAAGCCCCTCGGTGAGTGTCATTAGTGAGCTGGTCATGATGATTATTATTTTCCATTGTAAAACCAACACTTATTTCGGTAGGATCTAATTTGTAGGGTAATTTTTAAGATCGAATCTTTTTATATTGTATTTGATTGTAAATTGTAAATTAGTAGCCCCAGTGGTTGAGAAAATAAGGAGTAAAAGGTAAGAGTGGTATGGGCATGTTATGAGAAGGGATGAATCGCATGTAACAACCTAGAAAGAGATGGATGGATTGCGTGAAAGGTGACTTGATCAAGAAGGGAGTGATGACTGAGATGACAGATGATAGAGTGCTTTGGAGGACGAAAACCCGGGGCACCGACCCTACGGGAGTAGGATAAGGCAGGGGAGATGATGATGTAAATTGTAAAATAATTGAATTTGAATTTTGTGTTATACTTAAATGTTTATGTTATTGATAACTTATTGTTTATCACTACTTTAAAAAATATACATTGATTACTAGATATATATTTGTGTTTTTTTTCTCACCTGTAGGGAATTCCGAAGTAGAATCTGAAAAAATAAAAATACTTTTTTATTAACCACTCTATTTTTTGTAGGATTTCAAAAATAGTAAAAAAACCTATGTTACTCAGTGATAACATAGTTTTTTAATGGTAAAATAATTTTTTATATGGGCCCAGCAGTTTTAAGTTAGTTTTAAGGTAATTCCAATACATACAAGAATCGAATAAAACAAATTTTTCGTGTGTAATAAATATTAGAATAGATTTGAATGTTTTTCCGAATGTCGAAGTTAGTTACCTTTATCCGCAGATTCAGCATTCACAGCACTGGTCGCGTTTGGTTTCACCACCACCAGCGAGGTCAGGCTCGTCACGAATTCGTACTGTAATATATGTTTATCTCTTACAACATGGACCTCGCCAGGGATCAACAATAAATCGCTGTCCTTAAGTCATTAATTACTAGTTATATGCGATCATATTTGATACAGAATTTTACTACATATTTCTGGTCAGGCTGGCCATAAGAAAAGAAAACGCATGTAAGCACAAGATTATACGTTTATGATGCGTCAACTAAATCCTGGCAGTTTGATCCGAAGTTGTGCTATTAAAGTATCGTAGCGTGGTAACCCATAAACATATCTAATAGCTGGAAAAAAGAAATATATATAGTATACCTTAAGTGCCAGTTTAAGAGCCTTCTTAGCTGGGCTGTTCTCGTCGTCGTCCTTGAGGTCGCTGACCTGGCGTTCGTCGAGCAGCTGCTGGATGGTGAGGTAGGCCCACAGCCGCTCCAGCGGCAGATACGACTCCGGCTTGTCCTCCACCGGCACCGACGTAGACACGTCGTAACGTTTCTACAATACAATCCGCACATTAATAACAATAATATGTCATCTGTAATCGTTTTGATAAAGCAATTAGATAAATAGAAACTGACCCGAGATACATCGTCGAGGCCGACGCCGCAGACGCCGTAGATGTGCGGCGCGAGCTCGCCGGCGCCGGCCAGCACGCGGCCCGCCACCACCGCCTCCGAGCCCGCGTAGAACCGCCGGAACTTGTGCTTCGTCACCGACCCGTCCTTCACCTGCCCTCGCCACATCGCCATACCACGTCTTAACAACTCGACTCACCGAATACTTGCATTGTTTACAATTGCAAAATTTCAAAGAATCTTATCATTAGGACACCGATTTACTACAAAATTCTACAAAAAATAAAAATAAAAGAGAAAGACCTGGTCGGGCGGGTAGACGAACTTGACGTTGGCGACGAGTGGCGAGGAGATCTGGCGGTAGAAGTCGTGCAGCTGCAGCGCCGCGTCCGACGCCTCGTAGATGTGCCGGCTGAAGCCCACATTCTTCAGCGACAACTTGCGGAGGAACGATTTGTCAGCGTCCTCGCCTGTTGCAACCGAATCACGGTTAACAATCATAAAAGCACATAAACCCACAACCGAACAACAAAATGTAACATTACATGTAAAAATTATTTATGTAAAAATGTAACATTAAAAAACTGTAAGAATTAACCAAATTAACAACAGTTTACCAAAGGCCAGGGAGTAAATGGACGCCTTGTGGTCCCCGTAGTTCTTCTCGGCCACGATGTTCATGATCTTGGACGGATTGAGTTCGCCCTCCGTCGGCTCGCCGTCCGTTAAGAAAATTATAATTGGCTCCTTTTCATCTGGAAACAATTTTTGTTTTTCTTAGTTATTAAGATCGGTCTCGACTACAACCTTAAATGGACGTCATTCGTAAAAAAATGTTAGCATAAGAGTTACCGTTATTAATTTCACTGTCGTTATTTTCAACTGGAGCTACCTCTTGCTTCTTCTCAGATTGTGTAACTGGTGCATCCGATGTGGCTTCAGAGTTGTGCGCGACGGGTGTGGTGGTTGCAGCAGCAGAGGCATTATGGGTTGCAACACCGTATCTTTGAATGAGTGCAATCGCCGTGTCAAGGGCGGTGCCGATATTTGTTCCTAAACAGAATTAAAAACATATTAAAAAACATGAAAGGTTATTCCTAGTTCAGATATTAATAGTAAATTGACTGACCACCGCCGGCGCGCAGCCTGGATATGAGCAGCTTGGCCTTGGCGATGTTGTCCGGAGTGGCGGGCACGGGCGGCAGCAGCGGCGGGATGTCGTAGGACGCGGGTCGGTAGTAGAAGCTGTTGTGGGGCGTCGCCGGACGCTCGTACGCCGACGCTATATCTAGAATCTAAAAGAAGATGAATTTAAAACTAAGTTAAAAACTGTTGGAAGCCCCATTAACACTTTTTTTATATTTATACAAATATGAACTCATCTGCAATAACCAGACAAATTAATGCTTACCTGAACGGAGGACTCAAACTGGACGATATTGATGACGTCACCCTTGTTGAGTTCGCCGAGGATGGTCTGCATGGCCTCGATGAGCTGCTCGATCTTGCGGCCGCTCATGGAGCCGGAGATGTCGAGCACGAACACAACGTGCTTGCTCAGCGGCGGCAGCTCGCTCGGCGCGAAGAAGTGCACGAAGTAACCGTTGTTCACCTACAATATTCGCTAAACTGTATTCCGCCATACTGCGCAACACGCGCTCATCCAAGTCCTATATTGCTACTAGTGTAGAATATTTGAAGAATTTTTGATGAGCTTAAACGACAAACATTCAAAGGAACTTCATTTATAACTGTACTCATAATTATCAGATATTAGAATGATTATACGACACTCACCAATATTTCGTTGGTCTTGGAGCGGTCGACGTCGTACTGCACGACGAACTGTCCCAGCGTGCCCTCCTGCGGCATCTCCTCGTTGCTATGGAATCCGTACCGGTCCACATTGCGACGACTACTTTTGTCCTGCAACAAAATTGACACCAGGTGTGTGTGAAACTTAGTTTATTATCTTTGAGATGTGTGAAAAAAATCTATCAGTCAGTTTACTAATTCATTTTTCTTTACCATACAAAATGTTTAAAAATATACGTAATAATTAGTTACCTTATAAATTTGTATCAATACTTTCTGTTCGTCGAGGTCGGGTGTAAACGTGATGGTTGCCTCACGATTTTTATTGGTCCGCTTAATAACGGCGTTTTTGTTCTCTGCAAAATAAAATGAACATAGATTAAATTAGAATACTGTTCATAATTAAGTTTTTTTCTAATCTAATCCAATAGGTTACTAATAAACTGCCCAGTATACCACTAACCTTATCAGTTTTGAATGGGATTTTAGCAAAAATTCGCAATAACCTAACCTATTTATTAACCCACTGCAATTTTAACGAAATATAATTTTAGGAGATGGTACATTACAATAATCGATTAATTTTAAACCCAGGACTTCATGATTCGTAGTCCCTATTTTTGCCATTGGATTATCAAGTTGTAAAAATAAAGTAAGATATGGATTCAATGACCCAGTGGAAGTTAGCGGCCGACACGACCGCGTACACCATTAACTTGTCAAACTGGTTAATAGCTGAGGCGCAGGTCGTGTCTTCGCGGACGTTTTTATGGCCAGTGTTGTCTGGTTTTTCCCCACAGTTACATTAGAAACACTTAATATCACAATAAATTGAAGTAAAAAAGTTTGTAACGGTTCACTAACGTTATTTAAGAACTTTGTAAACTTTGTCTTTTAATATTGCCTCCGTATTATATTAACCCCTTAAATATTTCCTTTTTGATTGCTGCATCTAAAGTCAGATTTTATATGTAACATTCATTAACAGTTAATAGAACAACGCTATGTTAAAATATAAGCTATTTATTAATAATCTTTATTATAATATCTCAAAGTTTTTTAAAGATTTTATGCCATGTATTGTCTTGGTGTCTCACGTTGCCGTGTTTGAGGAAAATGATGATAATGTGCGATAAGGTCATAGTGCATTGATAGCAATCTAAGTACGTTAAAGCAAGTCTTTAAACCAAAAGACCAAGGTAAACTGGCATGGAGAAATTTATTGGACCATGCCGAGGCCCTCCTGCGGCTGCGTTGTCTGAGATAATGACGTAAAAGTAAACATACGTGCGTCTTCATTGGTAGCGTCGACTTCGTTGCCGGTGCGTATCTCTGGTACGCGTAACACGGCGATGCCCTGCGTCTCGCGGATATGCACTGTGACGGTGAGGCGCGGCACCAGCGCGCCGGGGTGCAGGTTCACCGCGTGGTTGTAGACACCGTTGCGCCGCGACAATAGCTCCTCGTACGTCAGGTTGAACACTGCCCGGGACTTTGGCTCCACGTTCACTGATACCGTGAACACGTTGGAGTCACGAGCTCTAGAGGTTGACGATAAATTTGTTATAGTTTTTAACAATTAATTCACTTACTGTGACGAAGGAACTAAACTAAAAAGCTCTTAATTAATCAATATCTTTAAAGGACATTTTTATTAGGTTAAAAGCAAACTTTGAATATTATAAATATCAAGGAAATTTTTTATTGGTAGTTGATACGCACTTGGCAGCAACATGTGCGGCACCGATACCCTGCGCTACCGCCTGGGTGTAGATGTTCTTGGCTTCTTGCTTCTCCTTAACGTAAGCTTTGTAAGGTTTCCCGTCTAAAGTCCTAGAAATAATTAAAAGAAAATATTCATACTTATAAATCTTCATATAATAGATTTAAACATTATCAGTTGGCAGGACCAGATATTTAACTCGGATCCCATTGCATAATTGTATCACAGTATATTTTGTGACGTACATGACGAATCCGCTGATGAAAGCAGTCTCCGGCAGCAGCACCCTGAAGGTGTACTCTTGCGCGCGGCGGGCGGGATTGTGCACGTGAGCGACCACCGCGGTGCTAGCGTAGCGCAGGCTGATCTCCGACCGCACCGCCATCTCGGTGAGCGTGATCGGTCCGTTGGGCTCTTCCGTCGTAACCTCTGTCACCGCGCTCGCCACATCGGACGATGTCTGTATGAGAAAACACAATATAATTCTAAAATTCAATTAGACGCGTGTATGCTACACCGATATCGATAAGAAAGTTGAAAAAAGTACTTACGTCATCGCCGGATCCTGTCGTCACTACTAAAGTTTCTTCGGATGGCAGCGCGTGAGGAAATGCAACCGTCACGAGTACGGACAGGCATAACAAGACGTGCAACCCGCGTGACGTCATTGTGCTACAAAACAAAATAATAAATCAAACACAACTACTACTACTATCTAAGAATATAATTAACCGGCAACTTATGATTATGGCAAAATTCAACAGCAGTTGCTCCATATTTTTATTAGTTAAGTAATGTTATGAAAAGATACATAATCAGGTGACCTTCTTGCTCAGTTGCCGCCTTTTCGTTATAAATAAAATATCCCGTGTTACGCGAGATTGTACTGCAGTAGATAACCTGTCACCGACTTATCTACAACTTACACTTGTGACCTAGAGAGGAGGAGAGATATCAGTATTCCATTTGGCACAGTCCCAACACACCTTCCTTTTTCACATTCATCTACCTACGCATGTGTGTTCTTTTCTTCTAATGTTTCTTATTGTCCATTTATAAAAAAAAAAACTAGTAGTAATGTAAAATGGTGAGTCGTAAACAAACAAAAGCTTTCCATCCCCTGTCTCAATAAAAATTATATTTCAAGTGTTGACATGGAACCAAAAGTAGTACTTACTAAAGTTACGATAAAGTTATGGAATAATTGAGGAGTACGCCGCAGGAAATCTCAATTGAATTATGTTTAACACACGACCGAGTACATAATTTTCAATGGATTCAAGGTTGCTACGCAGATTTATTCATAAAAACACTTACAAACGCAATATGTATACGCAATACAAACTCACAAACAAATATTTTGAGTGTAAAGCTTTTATATAACGACTAGCTGTTGCTCGCGACTTCGCCCGCGTGAAATTAAAAATATAGCCTAACGTTACTCACAGATAAATTACCTTTCTAACGATGAATGAATTTTTAAAAATCGGCCCAGTAGTTGTTGAGTTATTTCAATACATACAAAAATACAAATTTTTCCTCTTTGTAATAATAGTATAGATAACGATTTAACATTAAATTAAAGATTCTTAGAATAAATAAAAAGAAACAAAAAACATAGAATTCATTGGCAACGATGACTTTACAAAGCAGCGTAGTTACATTACAATTCTCTTCCTGTTAAGGACATGAATATAGTATAACTATTTAAAGGCTACAATAATGATCGGTGCAGTAGTCATAACATGCTACTTACAATATAAATTTTTCGACTGTATAGCATAGCGAAATTATTAATATAATTGTACCGGGCATAGCTTATTCATATCATAAAGTATTAGAATCTGTTTAAGTTTCAATTTAAATGTGGTAATAATTTAAGCAATTGCAAGACTTATCTTAAATTGATAAACAAAAGAAAATGTCACCGTGACCTTATAAACTTAGCAAAAGTATTTTAATATCTCTACGAATTTTTTTGATAAGCAAGAAATAAGGAATTTTTCGTCGAATATGAAACTTTTGGGGCGAAAATAATTGTATGTTTTCTAACTTTCGTAGCTTGGAGGATCTAGATAATAATCTTACTAATATCATAAATGCGAAAGTTTAGATGGATGGATGGATGGATGGACGGATGGATAGATGGATGTTTGTTAGAGTTTGTAGCCTAAATGGCTGAACTGATTTCGATGACATTTGGTATAGATATAGAGGATAGTTTGAAAGAACACATAGGCTACTCACTTTTGTTTTTTTTTAATTCCAAGCGGACGGAGTCGCGGACAAAAGCTAGTACAACATAAAACTATAATTGACATATAAATAGGAATACTTCAATGGGCAACGTGTTAACTTGATAAGTTACGGTTTTTCCCCGAATAAATATAATTTAGTATATGGATATCAGAAACTTTCCGATAACCTCAAGCATACAATAATAGTTCCTGCGAACATTCAAAAATTACGGAATAATTCTTCGAAGAAAAACAAGGTCTGAATGATCAGAAATAGAGTCCAACAATCGGACTAAACTTCTCGCAAGTGTTAACGTGAACCTACGTGATTCGACTAGCGAACTCGTATCATACTCCAAAACAGCAATTACTTTTTTCTGTTGAAGTGTATTTGATCACAAAAATTTGCAATAAAATTTGTTCCCATATATACCTACGAGGTCATCAGTAAGCGCGTCCCACTTATGATCATAAACATCAAACGAAGTTATAAAATATGTCGGAAGTGGATTTTTACTACAAAACCTCTACAGAATGTTTTGTCGGTTATTCTATTTGCAAGAAACATGTAATAATAGGCATGTTATTATTCACAAAATATCTTTAAAGTCTGGAATAACTGTATAACACTTGTTAGTTAACAGCCGATGGCAAATATAATGAGACGAGAAGTGACACATCTTATCACATTGAAACTACATTTCATTCAGACTGCAAATATAGCACAAGTAATCATTGTATGCGAGCATGCATTGATTGATTGGTCACTGGCTTTGATTGAGAAATAAGAAAAAAAGAGAGAATTGTAATTGACCGGCCGGCGCAGGAGGCCGATGTTACATAAAAGAATTCATACTCACTCGTTTGTTTACGCTCAACAAGATGATTGCATCAATTGCCGCTCGACAGCGGCACGTTCCGCATTCGATGCCCACAGGCCGTAGGTAAATAATATTGTCGGACGATGGGCGCTGGTCGACGTGTGCCCCAGTCGGTGCCCGCCGCGAAACTCGTCACAAATCCGGCCGCGGCCACTTATATGTTGTTGTATATTTACCTCTGTGTGGTCGCATCGTGGGCTTCCCGACAACGCGTTAGCTACGCTTCACAGACACTGACTCTCAAACTATTCATCTATGTTATAATTACTATTATTACTACTATTTCTATGACTACCCTGCTACTGATTGCCAGAGTTTAATCTGTTATCTAGTTATACTAAATCTTTGCTTTGTAGTCTGCGAAATTTGCTGGTAGACTCAGCCCCGGTGTTTAGCTGACGAAACCCATGTGCCTACCGGATGTTATAGTAATTCCAGGGTATTTTTAATGAATTGCACCTACTCGGTTAACGTTCTCGATAATACCCAAAGTATTACCGGGCGTCTCGAAGGTCAAAACGTCTATTTATTTATCAACGTTTGAGAAACGTATCGATTCTTAGAAGTCGTAAGATCAATACAAACAATTATATTTATATCAGTCCCACTAACAAAACATTCTACTTAGTTAGTTGTACTACTTAACAATTTAATAATTTATGCAATAATCTATAACAAAAACCATGGACGTTTTCAATGTTGTCAGCTGCCCCCACCTGGAGAATTGAAAAGTACTTCGGATAAGTTCTTATAGTAATGGTAGCTTACGTCTTTCGCCCCAGACCCAGCGTACAATATTGGCTGGTGACACCCATATCAAAAACTTTACATTTTGTAGTGCGTTTCAATTGGAAAGTTCAAAATTTAGGCTGGCTTTAAGATTTTTTTAGTATATCTAGTTAATTAATAATGTTGTTAACTTACCATCTATTTTGTCGAGTTCGTAGCTCTATTACCTATAAACTAATTGAAATTTAAAATACTTAAGTTTAAATTGTAGAGTACATGTTTTGTTGTAAACAACTGAAAATTAAGCTCTACTCTTTTACTTAAATACTGTTTCTGTTATTGTTAATATTTTGTAACTATTTTACATTGTTAAGTGTTTGATAGCTAGCTGTAGTAAGTACTTGTTGTCTGTTTCTGCTATAAGTAAAAACTTTTTATTGGCCCACAGTTATCTATTTTATAGTTGCCTAGGTTAATTTAGGCAGGAAGTTTTCCAAATGTTAAGTAAATAAAAAAAAAATTATTATAAACAGGCAAGACGACGAACAGTTGACCCAGCGCTTTACTACGAGTATTCGCCTATCGTGCGCTAAACTAATTATACGGTAAATTTTAATAATTGCTTTTTTTACCATATGTTATTGTCGCCTTGTACATTAATGTGAAACTTTCATATTTTGCAGTACAACGAATAGGTTAAAAAATAACATTACTCTCTTAGGGTGAGTTGCATCAAATCGCTGGTTATCGTAAAAGTTATAATAGGGTTACAAGTGCAAAAACATATTCTCACAGAGGTTTTATGTGTTTTTCGTTTTTACAATGGAAACATTTAAACCTGAATGTCACTAAAGTGTCAAGTTGGTGTCAAGAATGACATTTACGTAAACTAAAATGTTTGGAAATTCATGTTTCGCCGATTATATTTATGTATCATACGCATGGTATTTTATAGTGAAATAAACTTTTTGCCCACGAAGATGGAGAAAATGGCAAACTCTTGTGAAAATAAACTAGTTTGGGCCATTATTGAAACTGTATTTACTTTACTACTCAAATATGTAGCAAAAATGAAGCAATAAAATTATACAAATATAAATGCATCTTATTTATTTTCCATATTATAAATTGTCCTGACAATGCATATTATAAATTGACCTTTTATGGAGGACATTTTTTTAAATAAGAGAAAAGGGACAAGCGCTGTTGCTATGGCCTTAGACACTCGAAATTTGTCCAAACTGAATGTTTGGCCAAATTTCGAGTTCCATCTTGGAAATCCATTATTTCCGAGCACGCAAGACTTTATTCTTCTGGATTACGTATAGGATAATAGTAGAGATTTTCTTTTTCCATTACTTTTTCCATTATTTGTGCTTTTGAAGATAAGAGCTTGTGACAGTTGACACTACCGAACTGACACTAACCGTAACGCTAACTATAACCGCCCAAAATCGGGCGGTTATGATTAGTGTCAAATATGACGTCATTTTGACCAGCGCAAAACTGGTGTAGCGAATATCATGAACATCCGAAGACGTAACCATCGGGAATGTGCTGGTTAAGGTTTATAGTTAGTTAATGTAACTCATCCTTAGTAAATTTTAAGGTTATTCCAAATATTACTGTTACAAATAATTTTAACTTTAACGGTAACCGGCGATATGGTGCAACTCACCCTTAAACTTGTAATTTAACAGAATTATTTTTGAATTATTTATTAATTCTTTGAAATCAGACAAATTAATCAGATGTTCAAATACTCATTTCCGGACGTAAATATTTAAAGTATTAAAACGTTGTAAATGGCATCATCTGCATCTAGAGATGTTAATAAAACTATGTTTTTAAGTACCAAATTAGTTATATCTTATTGTGTTTTTGCCAACTGGTGCCGATTGGTTCTCAATTAAACTTTACCGAGAAGTCATCAGGTTAAGCACGTTTGCTAATTTAATAATCACCGTTACATTGAAGAAGCGTTTTGAAAACTTTGTTTTATATACGTCACGACTTTTTATCGATGCTTTGAAATACCGAAACGCTTAATTAAAAGTTAAGCAACTATTAATTTAATTAAGATAATACATCAAAACAAGCTATCATCCGGAAGTTAATTTTATAAAATTAATAATAATATCTGGACTACAAATGCTGGAAAATAATGTGACCCAAACAAACTTAACCATTACGACGTAAGTTGGAATTCCCCAGGGAACTTACCACAAGGCGTTACGTTATTTTCGTTTGTTATAATAGCTCTTTTATTAACCTATAGTTTTTGTAGAGATGCGCATGATTTTCCTTTACTCAATCATCTTCTTAGAAACAAACAAAGATATTATAAATATTCCATGTATCGTTATCATTTCCTTGGAAGTAAAAACTTATGTTGTTTTTCTTGAAACTATTACATATAAATGATAACATAGTTTTTGATACATTTTACATTTGGTAACTTGACTTGGCAGAAAGTACCAAAATCGACAACCATGATACGGTACACGACGTTCAAGTGAGGACACTTAGCTTCGTCTGCGTTCGAAAGTTAATAATTTTTTACTCATGCGTTTGACAATTTAATCCACATCTGTGGGTTTCCATAAGAAACACTTATCTATACTATTATAATAAAGCGTAAACACACACTTTTTTGTTGCCTAAGATATCAGCTATTACAGCATATTTCAAAAACCGGATATTATTGTTGATATGGGAGGCCTATGCCCAGCAGTGGGCGTCCTATGGCTGAGTAGTAGTAGGTGTGGTAGTGGTAGTGTTTATAATTGTTTCCATCATTGGTTACTTACCATAATATTTTAGGCATCTTCAATCTCATGTTTCAAATAATAAGGTATTGTTTATTCTGTCATTTTATTGAAAAAAAAAATGAAAGTAAGTGAAATAAATAACATATCATTATATTTTAAAGAAATATTAATTTGTACATTACTTTATTTCATCTTAAAGAATATCTCTTATAAATTAATTCTCAATAGAAATAGGACAACAATGTATTTAGAATATAATTTAAAGTTTTTTTTTCAAAGAATTTAATTCAAAGTACCATTTCAAAGTTTATATAATAAAAAATTGAAATATTTAATACGTAATGTTAACATAGTTATACAATATGCCTGCTTACCGCATACAGCAGTACAATTGACTGTTTCTTTCTATTCTATATTAGAGTAGGTAAAATATGATTTGAGTTTATAAAGAGAATCACAGCTTAAGTAATGGTGTCGGCAGAGGCCGTCCTTGTAGGCCTGCCCAGTGAGGCCCAGTGCGGCTCAGTGAGACCCAGTGCGGCTCAATGAGACCCAGTGCGGCTCAACGAGACCCAGTGCGGCTCAATGAGACCCAGTGCGGCTCAATGAGAATCAGTGCGGCTCAGTGAGACCCGTACAGTCGCAAACATTCACAATAATTCCTTACATTTGAAATACAAATGAAATAATTACTTTAATAATATCAATTTTAAGTACATTTAATTTTTAACATGCTCATTGTAACAATAAAATTTGGAATCTGAAAAATATGTATCTTTAAACATTGCAATCCATTAAAAGAGATTTAACATTTAAAATTGTTAGTTTGTGTGCATTCGCTACGATAACAAGAAAGTCGTGTGTGAAATGTTATATTACAAATATCATACAATTTTAAGTTCAATTTCGTTGGCTATAAATAGCAATTAAATAAAAAAAAACAATTTATTGAACTTGATGGGAATAAATTCGCCTATCGACCAGTCAAAAACTATTTACACCATGGCATCCTTTCTTACAATAACATACACAAAATAAAATATACAATATGCTAACGTTTTCTACTTCGTATCGATAGATTCAACATTGGACAGTGATACCAATCACAAAAATATATCTAACTCTTTAGTATAGGATATAGCTTCATAAGATTATTGCGCTACAGGAATGAGAGTCCATTCACCCGCTGACGAGCACAACACAACGCTTGGCACCTTTTGAGTATTAACGCTATACACTAGTCAAAGTTCATTCAGCACCACTACGAACTAGGGAGGCACATGCTTCAGGTCGACGAAAAGGAGTTCGAAAAATATAGAAATAAATACAATGCTATTCTAGTTAATTTACAATCGCACCATAATCTGGCATCGGTTGCAGGCCTTTAATACTGCACCGCCAGCGTACACGCACACTGCCACCGCACGTACACGCAAGAAAACAAACAAATACTGCTGTTCCAGTGTGTGCCGCGAGGACAACTTGCGTTGACATTCACCAATATACAACACTCGAGCTTAGCTCTAAAACTTCAGTCACTAAAGTCTGATATCGTTGGTGGCGGCCGCCAGCAGCGGGCCGTGTGTGCGTCGCCACGAAGCACCGTTCAAGGAGTCCTCCTCACTAACTATATACTCCATCTCGCCGCCCTCCCTGGACGACTCTCGCGCCACGGCGCCCGTCGGGGCTTCAGCTTTCGGCGTAAGATGTTCGCCGTCCTCGTTGCGAACGAACGTGCGACACTGGACGTCCTCCTGCGGCCCGTACCTGTGCAGGCTGAGGAACTTAAAGCTTGCCACTATTGAGGAATTGATCGGTCTCGTTTGTATATTGACCGTGGTGGCGGAGCGCTCTATACGCTTGTTACGGTTTTCAGGCGGGGCTAGTTCGAGCGACTGACCCCGCCCGTACAACCGAGACTGGCCGAACCGCGGCGTCAGTCTGCCTATAAGGTTGTCCTCTTTGCGCACACCTTTAGCCGCCTGCGACTCGTCCGGCGGTTTCGGTTTCTTCTTCAAGAAAAACGGCGTCAATCTTTCGGTAAAGGGTCGCGACGTGTTTGTGCCGGCGTCGTGGACGTTCGACGTCGAGCTCGACGTTTTTAGGGGCTTTATGGAGGTCGGCTGTGTCTTTATAGGATTCGACTTCCTCTGTATACTTATTCTTGAAAACATTCCAAAGTCCTCTTTTTCCTTGCGATCTATCGAGCCCTCGGATTCCAATTCGCTCGTCTCGCGCTCCTGTCCCTCGTCCTCGCACACTTTCAACACGCAGTAGGTGTCACGTTGCAGTTCGGCAAGGAGGCTGTCGTCGTTGGAGACGGTGTCGAGTTTGCAGAGCGGCCTGGCCTCCGCGGGGCTCTCGCGGCCTTCCCGGGCTCCCTCGCAGGACAAGCTGTGACAGGAGCCGCCGGTGACGGGCACGAGGGTGGATCGCTCTCGGGACCGCCGGAGTTCGACGTCCGGTTTTGGTAGCAGTCTGTTCCTGGCGGCGGTGTTGCCTCGCGGAGGCACCGCGGGCGGGGCGTCCTCGTCCGAGGGCTGCGCGTGGCTCATGAAGTTCGCCATCAGCTCGTACTCTTTGCACCGATTGGAGACGTCTAGGTCGGGCCGCCTGGGTGCGAGGTCAGGCTTGGGCCCTCTCCGCGGGGGCTCAAGCTCGACGTCGACATACTCGCAGAGGGCGGGCGGTGCGGAGAAGGTGGTTCGCATGGGGGAGAGCCGCGCCGGCTTGGGCGGCCGCGCAGGCCTTTCGGTGGACGCGTCGCTGTCTTCGGAGGGTTCGTGTTTGAGGCAGGACATGGTGAGGTAGCCGCTGCCCGTGGACTTGTTGGACTTGCCGGAGGAGCGCTCGTCGGCGAGGCGCGCCAGCTTGAGGGACTCCGTGCTGGAGCCGATGTCGATGGAGGTCTGTTGCAGCGGCAGCGTCTTGCCGTCGAGGTCGACGGTGGGCGACATCTCGCACCTCCACGTACGCCAGAAGAAGGAGCCGCCCTCCGCGCTCGCCGCCGCCGCGCCCGCCAGGTGCAGGTAGTTGTCGTCTCCTATCGGTGCTTGTCTGAAACAAAACTTGAACTATAACTCTTATTTTGCACTTTTAACAGGAATTGGAATGTTTACCTATAATGTAGCTTGTCTACAGATAAATTAGCTGGTGTAAAAAGTAAATATTGAATGTAATGTTCCACTTACTTGCTGCCATATTTGGTCTCCCTAGCGAGAGACCGCCTGTAAATGCGATGCTGGTGCTCCAGGTCGAATATTGTTTTCTGCAGTTCACACAACGTGGACGCCTCCGCCTCGCGTTCTTCCAGCGTTGCGCCATCTGAGGAGTAAATTCAAAACACATAAAAAAATATTACTTGTAAAATGACTGTCAATTTTTTTAATGCTGTCACTGTTGATCAAATGAAGATTTTTACTTTTGTTTTTGGGTTTTGTTACCCACAGTGTTGTTTGAACGGTATAGCGCTGAATGCAGTGTTGTGTGTAGTGTTGTGTGTAGCGCGTGTGTGCAGTTACCGTGCGGGCGATGGCGGCGCTCGTCGAGGCGCTGCGCGTGCGCCACCAGCAGTGCGTGCAGGCGCTGCAGGTCGCGCGCGGGGTCGAGGCGCAGCGCGAGCGCCGCCGCCGCGCCGCGCCCGCGCTCCTCCGCATAGCCCTCGCCCACACCACCCCCCACTCCCGCCGCACCCACGCAGCCCTCCGCCTCCGCCTCCGCACGACCGCAACTGATGCAACAATAATACCTGATTTACATTTACATAGTAGCACAAGCGTGTGATCGACTATATGGGACCATTGGCGCCACTTTGTGATTACATTATGTTACTGTTGATTTTGAGCGCTACTGGCCTATTATAGTAGCATAGTGTAAATCATACTTAAATTATAAATGCAAAATTTTATATGGATGGATGGGAGTTTTTTAGAGTTAGTAGCCTAAATGGCTGATCGGATTTCGATGAGATTTGGTAAAGGTGTAGAGGATAGTCTAGATGAACACATAGGCTGTGTTGTTGTGTTTTTTTTCCACGCGGACGGAGTCGCGGACGAAAGCTAGTAAAGAATAAAACTCATGCAAATACCATACTTGCTCGTTAAATTTCCTTACTTAGTGTAGATTTAGTCTTAAAAATAAATTAATAAAACAAGGGAAAATGAAAAAGTATCATTTCTGTGAAGCAGAATAGAGAATGTGCAGTATGAACCATGTCCAGGTGTCGCCGGCGTAGTAGCCGGCGTGCGGGGCGGCGGGCGCGGCGCGGCGGCACAGCGCGCCCAGCAGCCGCACCCACTCGGCGCGCTCCACGCAGTTGTTGGCCTGCAGCAGCAGCACGCGCTCGCGGTGCACTGCACAAAACATACTTAACTTATATCTACTTCATAAACACTTATATAAACAATATATCGAAGGGTCAAAAGCTATTTGTTTGAACCGCCATTGATGATTCCAATTAGGAAGATATAACCGATGTGAACAAGTATACTAACCAATTTGGAAGATATTGTTGGCGCCGAGCGGGGCGCCGGCGGGCGGGCAGTCGAGCGCGGCGACGGCCAGCACGCCCGCCAGCGGCAGCCGGTGCGCCGGCGCCTTCGCCCCGCTGCGCGACCACGTCAGCTCCCCGCTGCACGCACACAATTACACATTAACGAAAAACTAACATCACTACCAGATTACAACCTACACTAATATTACAAAAAGGAAAGATTTGTATTTTTGTATATATTAAAATAACTCAGAAACTACTGGGCCGATTTAACAAATTCTAACATTAAAAAGCTTCGTTATCACTGAGTAACATAGGCTATAATTTTTAATTCCACGCGGAAGAAGTCGCGAGCAACTGCTGGTTTTATATATGATTGTTTTCGACTTCGCTCGCATGAAATTGAAATAAAAAACATATACTGTTACTCAGTGATAATATAGCTTTTTAATGGCGAATAATTTTTTGAAATCTGCCCAGTAGTTTTTGAGTTATTTCGATACATATAAAAATACAAATTTTTCCTCTTCATAATAGAGTATTGATGTATGTAATGTAATGTTTATAAAAAATAAACTCGCCTGGTGAGCCTGAAGTGTCTCCGCTTGGAGTGCGCGTGCGCGGCGCGCGTCCAGCGACGCCGCGGCGAGCCGGCGCCCGCGCGCGCGCTCTCCGACCGCTTTATCATCGTCCTGAAGTAAACGTACACATATAAATACATAACATTATATACAAATATTAAAAAAAAAGATTTCATTATATACCACTTTGAAGTATGTAAGTACATTCGCTATACACATCGGTGGCATTAAACATGTCAAATATTCGTTCAAATAACAATTTTTTATTAATTTAAATTGAATTCAACTTAATCATCTATCTCCTATAGTACAGCGTATTAACTAAAAACCCTATATTGAGTCTAATACAATATTTCCACTATATCGACTTCGTTGTAACGTTCCAGTCTACCAACACAGCGAATTATTTTTAAATTATAACATCAGTCAATAATCATTAAAACAATGATGATATGGACTAAAACAAACACACATAATAAAGAAACAAAAGCACAATTTATAAAAAAACAAGCTGTCAACAAATCAAATTCTTTTAACCCAAAGAGAATTAAGCAAAATAATACTCCAAGCCAACATATACTAACAACGAAAATCCACAAACATAAAACAAACAAAACATACCCATATCTAGTCCGAGAGATGCAAGAATGAAAATCGACTATTATTTCTTCTTTCAATATAATTTAATTTTATTTGAATATAAAACTCACCCTTCTTTGAGTAGGACAGGAGACTCCTGGATATTGTTGTTCTGTGTGTCCGAACTTGTGGAGATTATTTCGAGAAACTGCTTGATTGCTTGCACCTGAAAATATTAAATTATTACTTTTATATTAAAACTTCAACAACAATAATAATGATATTATTAGTGTAAGATTGCAAATGAACAATCGGTTACCTGACATCTTACTAATATTGCATTATTATTTTAATATTATCAATACGAAAGGTTAGATGGATGGATGTTACTTAAAGCTTGTCTACACGGCATAATAGATCTCGATGAAATATAGCGTAGACGTAGATGATAATCTGGAAGAACACAAAGGCTACTCACTTTTGTTTTTTTTTTAAATTCCACGCGGACGAAGTCGCGGGCGAGAACTAGTCTTAATTAAGCTAAGTTACTACTGCCCATAGACATATGTATACGGTTGTCTTATAGAGTCACGTGTCCTTCCTATTTCCTTCTTACCATTAATAAAATGTAAAAGGAAACGATAGTGTCTAGTGTCTCTGTGTGTACTAACGTGTCTGGGTGTGCAGAAGCTGCGGTACAGTTCCGCCATGTACTCCTCCTTGCAGACCTGCTGCGCAGAGCGGCTGCTCACCAGGTTGCCAAGAGACTGGATCGTCTTGGAGATCAGCGTCAAAGTGCGGTTCGTTTGCGGGTCCTGGGTATATTACTTCATATTATGTTACCAACATACATGTAATGATATAAGAAAAGGATAATGTGATCAAAATTTACATTTTCAATTTAGTAGTAAAAATTTCAACAAATATGTTTCTATAAAATAACAACAGCAGCAACGTTCGTAACCCAGAGGGGTAAGCAGAGAATAGGGACTTTCATTTAACTCGATCTTGACATTATGTGTCGCTTCTACATCCATACACAAAATACAGTTCTGACAATATTTTGAGTTTTTTCACATACTGCACCCAAACTACGTATATGTATTTTTAATACACATAGTGCCAATTTTGTAGTCGCATGAAATAAATGTTTTCTAATAACTTACAATCTGTTCAGTGGTGAGATCGAAGAGCCTGGGGCCGAGTATGGCGGGCGCGAAGAACCGGAGGAAGATGAACCCGGAGACGACGGAATAGCGCACCTCCGCGTTGGCTGGGAAGTGTCTCGCCGCACACTGCCGCAGCGCGTCGAACAGCCGGCACATCACCGCCGGGCACGTGCCGTACGACGATGTTATCGCACCGAACACCTAAACACAACACAACACTATAAATAATAATAATTAAAAAACAAAAAAAGTATAAAGTAAAAAAAATTCAATACCGGTATCGGTTAATCTGAGGCAGAGAGGCACCTTTTGTCATCTGTTATGAATTTTCATATAACGCTGGAATTTTTTGATGGCAATAAAAAGTTTATTTATCTATTTAAGCCTTTCGAATAATAGAATTAAATAATCAAAAATATAATTCCGATAAACCGTATGGTCAATGTTTTAACATGGAGATTCATTTAAATCTTGAAATATCCTACTAAGTCTACTGTTTTTTT